AGCGAACTCAGATTCGAGAAAAAACTGCGGGGATATCCAACCAAAGAACCCTCATATCACCATCATGTGGTTCGGCCGATCATCGTAAAGCGGACAAACATAGGTCGACAAATAACAAGCAGGCTGTCGTTAGTCAGTAATTGTTTTTTAGTCTAGTTTAATGTACCTATAAATTACCCTTTTGCCCCTGCATTTCATTACATTATATACTCAAGGTGTCTCCTATACCTATAAAAATAAGACCATTTTATAAGAATAGACTCTATACGCTTATTTCTACTATTCGCTCTCTTCTCCTTCATTGTCTTCACGTGCTCTATTCCTTGGGCATCATTCAAAGACACTTAACACATGCGCTAATAAAATATTGTATTCACTTATCTACTAAGATGTCTTTATGGAATGACACATGTGTTCAACTAAAGGAAAGACCCAAACAATTAGGTGATAAGTTGAATGATTGGAAAATTTAGCCCAATAAATTATACCTTTTGGAAGCCACGTCAATGGATAAGTTTGCCAGCTTCAAAGTAATATTGGTCAATTGCAATACGTTTGTTTGCTTTTAGAAAATATTTAATGCTGACATTTTTTGCGGACAGAGAAAATAAGAGCAATTAGATAGGATAGATAATTTTTTAATCTTTTTCTTGTTTTTAATTATTTATTTCTCTTCTCTGTTAATTAAGGTGTCAGTAAATTAGTTTAAACCTTTTAAAAATTAATAGTAAATTGTTCTTTACAATTTCATTATTGAAATTAATTGAATACAAGTTATAAAATATATTAAAAATATTTATTTTGAAATAAAAACAGAGACGTATAAGTAAGATGTGAAAGCTCAAACATCCTCTCACTTCAAGATGATACATTCAATGACTAGGTTTTTTTTTTTCAATGTCACTAGTTTAAAATAAAAACGAAGGCGTCCAAATGGGCAAAGGAAGGTAAACGAGGTTATTCTAAATTAAATTTAACTCAGGTATATGATATTACTCCAATATGAAATTTTTTTTTCAAGAACAGAATTTGAAATTTTTCTATCTAGTTACGTAACATATCGTTCCATTTTAAAGAAAAACATAATGAGCCCATAATTAATTATTTTTAAAAGGAAAATAGTGTTACAAAATTAAAATATAATCAACTTCTAAATTAAAAAAAACAATCTTGCATTAAGAGTAAAATTTCATTAAGAAATTCTTGACAAATATTTTCTCTTGCAAATAACCAAAATTTGAATGTAAGGAACTAGAAAATTTATTTGATACAATGCAATAAAAAAAAAATCATTATTGTCCAATTTAATGTTGAAATGTTGTCATGAATGTACACACATGATATGTCAGCATGAATCTCAATGGAACCATATAGTCTGAAAAGATAAAGGTGTGATCAACAATGACACACGAGAAATAAAGAATCATATCAACACGAAATCATGAAATCCCGTACCTCACCAAAGATACTACAAGAAAGTGTACAAAACCTACTGAACAATAACGTCTCCGGATAAGGACCAGGGAACAACTTCCAAGACAGAACTATCGAGCCTCTCGAAACAACACCACGAATCACCTCGGTGATAACCTCAAAAGCCCTTTACATGTGTAAGTACCTAATATGATACCTACACACTCCCCGAGAACTTTTTATTGGAGGGGTAGAGCTGTCAGTTGAATTAAGAAACAGTGTCATGTGCCCGTCAGCTAGTCTCATCATGGCAACAGGAGTCGTGCAAGGGGAATGGTAATTGCTAATCGCATCGAGAGAGAGTCAGTCGAGCAAAGGTCCCTAGCGGGGCAAACTGAAGGTCCCTAGCGGAGACGAGTAAAAGTCCCTATCGGGGTCGACCGAAGGTCCTTAGCATGGCCGACTAAATCTCTTCAATTCAACATATCAAAAGCTCATAGTTCGGCCGACCGAAGCCTGTTGTCTGATAGACCAAAGATCCTCAAACAAGCCGATGGAAGGCCTCGTCTCAAGCGACTGGAAAATGCCACAGTTAATTCAGAGGTACTTTTCATTTTATTTATTAAATTATTATTTTATTCATGTATCTATTTATGACCAAAAATGTCCCATAAGGTCCTTACTTGAAACAGTGGTAGGCAAATAATTGTACGCTTGACACCCCCTGAATCTATAAATATGGAGTTATTTCTACGGCAAAAGGCTAATGAACTATTCAAACTAATTCAGACATTTTTTCACTCTCTCTTTCTCTCTCACACTTCTACACTCTATTCCTTGGGAGTGCTTTACGAGACAATCTCGTATTCAACAATGAAGTATGTTACATCAAAGATCATTAGATTTTTTTTTTTCACAAGTGCCACGTAATAGTATTTATAGCAAAATACAAATAATATTAGCCTGTTCGAGCTGTTGTAGTAAAATATAGCATGAATAATAACATTCTCATGAAGAATGTTATCCCCAAAAAATGTATCAAGTTAAAGTAAGGTGACATCACCTCACAATTTTCGTGGTTAGAAGGTATGTGCTATATTATGGGTTATTAAGAACCTGGCAAGACCAAAATTAATGGTGAATTGATTCTTTTATCAAAAAGACTAAATTAAAAATACTGATTTTGAAAAGGTCATTCACCTTGCATGTCGAAAACCAAATCCAGTCAAACATAAAGTTTAGAAAATAATACGAGCTCGATTATAATAAGATAGACTGCAAAAGCTACAGAGTATTTAGAGTATCTGTTTATCTCAAACATGTATCACTTGATAGGATTGAGTCTGAGCAACCACATAGTAGAGTTATCAAAGAGTCTGATTTCATATAGGTAGCAATGTGATTCTACCAATTTATAACATGACTGGCCTGACCACCTTACAAGACCTGGAATGCTCAAACACTAAAATGAACGCTAGGACGTCAATGATCAAAACTTACATTAAATGAGTTGATTGAGGATATGTGAGATGCCTATAGGAAGGTCTATCCTTTGCGAACAAGTAAAATGGATATGTCATACATACACAGGTAGATATAAATAATATTTTTACACACATTTTTGCGGCCACTAGTCAAAATGATATTACATATATAAATTATGAATAAAATCTATCAATGGTTGTCCCCACATAAAAATGAATGTTTTAGCCCTCAAAATGCTTAACATATGCAAAACAAATGCAACAAAAATTATTAGAGAGATTTTAGGGTGAGTGGTTCAAGATAAAAAGGATGGTCATGGTGAGTGCTTATAAATATAACATAATGTATATAAGAAAATGAGATGACCTCGCATTTTGGCTTCTCCAATATCAATCATATTGAATTTCCCAAATAACAACTGGGAAACTATGCCGAGTTTGATCCCTATTTGGTACATTGGAAAACACTTGGCTGCGTAACTCAAAGAGGAGAAATAAAAAAGAAAAAGCTTTGCTCCCATACAGGACCTTTGGGATTTGGAAATTAATAGGAGATTTCAACCTCTAAGTGCACCCGCTATATAAATACCTCTTGTCATTAAGCTGATCATCATAGCTTTAACCTCAAAAAAAAAAAAAATGTGCGCATCTTAGTGCTCTCATTGAAGTTAATAGTGAGGAACAAATAGATTCAATGAATAATAAGAAACTGTCGTTTGGGAACACTTTGGTTATCTGTTTTCGATTTTATTTTTTTATTTTTTTTAGGTTTTTTTTTTTTTGAATTAAAGCCTCAAGGAGATCTATTTAAATATATAAAAATTATGCCTGTTGAGTGTGGAGCCTGGGGGCATCCATGGGTGGATGTATGGTGCGACCAATGTAAGTCTAGTGCTAGATCAAAACACCCAAAAACTTGTGCCAGGAGTGGAGCCTAGAAGCCAAGAACCTTCATCTGAAACTGGAGCGATTTAAATTCCAACGCCGGGGAGAGACGCAGCTGCACCAATATATGTTTGTTTCCAAGCTCAGAAACAGACATACCAGAAACTCGACACTTAGGACAAGCGATTCAATGCCAAAAGGAAAGACTACAAACAGAGTACATGAAAAGGCAACGCGAGAGAGCGGTGCTCCAACGCCAAAAACGGTTTCTCTTCCGATCGGGATTTATCACCTCGATTTTTATATGAGGAAGGTGTCTCTTAGTTATGCATGTAAGAAGAGTGGGACAGAGCGAGCGGTGCAGCAAGTTCTAGATTGGATTTTTGCATTTTGCTCTTATGCGATTGAGAGAGAAGTTTATGTGAGTTCCAAACTTGTAGAAGGGAACTCTGATTGTGGATTATACATATTTCTTCTCATTAGAAGTTTAGTGTAATGTGGTTTTGTAGTTTTTCCCGTTCTCCAATTTTCGAAGTTAAATATGGTGTACTACTGTAAATTTTTTCTATCGTGCGCTTCAATTCGATTTTGTTCAATTTTTAATTTTGGATGTTTCAAATCGATGTATTTTATGGAGGTGTGATTCGGTTGGCAATGGATAGAAATCTAATTTCTCTATCCCAACAATGCCAACCAAACTTACTTTCAAAAACAAAAATAAAAGTTAGAAAAGCCAAGGTTATGCCAACTCAGCCAGGCTAACCTTTTGGCCATTCTTGAGTTGCAAGAATCCCTTCCAACAACTGGAATAGGGAAATACTCGAGAAATCCATTTATGATCAAATCATGATTTTTCACTAATGCTTAATCAATGTGGACTAAAATGTAATATTGGAAAGATGAGCCTATAGTTGGAGCAGAGCAACGAGAACTAATATCACAACCTCCAGAGATGAAAAAGTTGAATCACTGTTCGCTTGGCCAATCAGACGAGACAAAATAAAATAAGATTATAAGAAAAAAAGTTTGGAAAAGAAAAATTTAATTTCAAATATAACATTTTAATAAGTTAAGTTAAAATTTATATTTGACACCCTCACTAATAAATAGATAAGATTTGTTGTAATATTATATTTAAAATTTAGATGACTAAAATATTATACTTAATATTTTATACGATTCTTGTATACGAAACCCAAATAAAATTTGCTTTATTACCTGTCTCCGACTGGTCGGGTAAATATTTGGAGCAAAATTCCCTGATCATCCCTATCAACAAGGATTCCCAGATCCTCGCTCTGCTTTATTTGCTCCTCGGTCAGCACATCGCCTGCGCGTCGCCGGAGATTAACGTAGTACGTCGGAGGAGGCGGGGGCATAAACTCAAAACCCCCTGCCGTCGACCTCGCTTTCATCTCCCTCAATGTCTGAAACACATCATCAGTCGCCAACGCGAGGTGTTGCACGCCGGCTCCGCCGTTATGATCGAGGTAAGTCTGAATCTGACTCCTCCGCTTCGTCCCGTGTACCGGTTCGTTGATTGGAATTAGCACCGTCTCCTCGTTGTTCGCGAGCACCACCGAATTCAATCCGCTCTCCGTCGTGCCGATATCCTCTGCGGTAAACTCGGCGAACTCATGGAATCCTGTAAATGCCGCGATGTATTTCACTGCGGAGGCAAGATCATCAACGTTACCCACGGCGTGGTCGAGGCGGCGGATGCCACATTCGAAGCTGGGGGATGGAGCGGGGACGTCCTCGAATCCGGGGAGGAAGGAGGGGGAATCAGGGGAAGGGTTTGGGTGGCTAATGAACCGAAGGACGACGTCGCCGTATAGCTCGACTTCAGAGAGGGAAAAGCCAAGCCCGAGATCAGCGGGAGGGAAAGCAGGGCGGGCGCCGTGGGAGACACTGAGCTGGAAGGCCGAGAATGCGTCGGAAACACGTATGGCGATGGCTCGAACGCCTAAGCCGTGGACCTTGGTGAAACGGTGGCAGGCTTTGAGGGAGAAGGAAGGAAGGGGGGATTGAGATTGCGAGGATAGCGGGGGATCGGAGGAGGTGATTGGGGCTGAGAACAGAAATTGAAGGGATGCACTGCGAAGGAGGAGGGATGAATGGATTGGATTGCCTGTGGAGAGATCGGATCGAGCTGCGAGGTGCATGCCGAGTCCAAAGGAAAAGCGGCCGGCGGTGTTGATGGCGTCGCCACACCAGAACTCAATGTGATGGAAGCCAAGGACTGGGAAGCGATCGTTTCGGGGATTGAAGCGCAGAAAGTTGGAGTAGCCGACTAGCTTGAAGTCCTTTTCGATGCTTGCGGCAGAGGCCGGAACCGCCGATTCTGTCTCTGCCGGTGTCGCTTGCCCCATTTCTCTACTCTTTTTGCTTTTTCGTTGTGGACGCCAGGAGAGGAAATTGTAACAGATTATTATGCTGGATGTAGATTACCTTATTTTGTGTGGAACATGTGACCCGTGGACATGTGATAACAAGCGGGTTGAACAAGGCACGCAAGCGGCTTTTTTTTAATTATTTTCGATGGATAATGAACATGTACCCATCGAATTATCATGAGATGATTTCGGATAAGATTGAAGTCAACAGAACTGAAAACATCACGTAGAGGAAGAGCTTGCTAGCTTTAATATAATAATAAGAATGCAGGGATTGTTTTTCTGCCACAAAAAAAAATAATATGTTGAAATTATATCATAACCATGAAAAACTTGGAGGTTTGATGACAAGTCCTTCATCCCATTGATAGGAGATTGCTAAATTTCATTGACTGGGTTTAAAATAAACCATACGATTATGATCAATATATATAATACAAGGTAAGCTAATAAGGAAACCAGACTTCATTTCACGCACATGAAAGTCGTCAAAAAATTATCATTTTTTTGTGGCCATGCCTATATGAGACATATTTAGGGTACTGATATAGATGCACCAAAATGGCCAGCATGAATCTCAAAAGAAATCCAACGGCCAAGGATGATGGCGAGATAATTGAAATGTCGAGCTAATGGAGCATAATCTAAAACCGTCATTCAACGACCAACCGATCGATCAACTCGACCAACACGTGATGTCGGCGAATCCAATTGACGAACCGCGCTTACTGTCTCAGCCGCCTAGACTTCTTGCAAGGATGTCTGGTCGAAACTACGATCGACCGGCTTTACCTCGGCGGGAGCAATCGTAACGCGGCCGGTCGCTTCGGTAGACTGAATTCAAATAGTAAGACCAACTGATAATTGTTGTATTTTACCTAAATTGTATTACGAATCTATAATTAAATTAGCGATTTAATTATATTAATGGTGGTTTCAAGAATTGTTCCTTCCTCTCGGTAAATATTGGTGGTTTTCATAATCACTTCTTTCTGTAATTAAGAGAGGTTTCCATAATCGCTTCCTTTTTTTCTATAAATGTAAAAATATGCCCCTATAGATAGGGGGAAAAAATGAATCAAAGGACCTTTTCCCAATATCTCTACCCAGATTTTTCCAACTGTCCAACTCGTTCCCTCTTCCTTCTTCTCTTGGCTCCAATTCTCAAGGCATGTGTTTTCGAAATACGGTTTAAGATTCAATATATATATATATATATATATATGTATATATATATATATATATATAGACACAACAAACATTTTTTAAAAAAAAAAATGGTTAGAGGCTATTATACGAGCCTCCAGTAACCCCTAATGTGTCTAACAATTCGAGTATCACCTCCTTAAAGCCAACGATGTCAGAGGGGATTCAGACCCCTGACCTGAGGGGTCTTATACCATAGATGTCAAACAACTTGCCGGGTACTTGGCACTATGTAGATACAGATATACATACAAGCACATACACACATATATACACAAACATACATACATATACATATACATATATACATATACATATACATATACATACATATACATATACATATATATACATACATATACACACACACACACACACACACATATATAGCAAATTGCTATATCATGTTTCACTCTTGGGTTTATATAGTTTTAACTACCTTTTTCGATCATTAATTAAATTAATTTATATTTTTTATTTTGTGAAACAAATTTGAGTAGCTAAGAATTTACAAGTTATATTTTATTTTTTAATAATAAAAAAATTTAACTTAAACAATCTACATTTACATCAAGGTTGACCAGAATATCAATAATAACTAATATGAAAATCACATAAATCGTTAGCTATTTCTCAAATAATAATAGCGGATATGGACTTAATGGAAGGGAGGTTGTATGTTTGTATAAAAAATTTAAAAAATCTTAAATATAATTCGATGTTGGTTCTTATTCTGTTAAAGAAGTTTTTAATGTTTTTATCTAGCATGCTATTTTCAAATTCAATAATTTATACATGACTAAGTATAACACTCCCTACTTGATCTCTTGCTTATGCTTGAGCTTATTCAAATAACATTTGATTGCATTGTATTATTGTGTTTAATTGAATACTTGCCGACCACTATGTTTTCTTAGTTTAATTTTAGATTTTATCTCATTAGTTGATTGCCATCATAATTTAGCTTAGCTGGAAGCCTAGCCCATAAAGTGAAAATTTTATCTCATAGAGTGAGATAACTAGGACCAGCCCTAATGGGACCATATGAGCTATCTTTAACCTTCAAACAAAGAAGAAACTTCTCATATAACTTTCGGTTCTTGATCTTCATCCTTCATTCTAATGAGGATTGACTAAAGCCAACTCTAAGTTAGCCATAACACTTAACCTAAAAAAATTTTAATGCAATTTTTAGTAGACTAAGCACTCAATTAATTATCACCATATATTTGATTCAATATTATTTCATTTTAACTAATCAATGGAATCCCTCGGATTCAAACAGTGATCATGGTTTTGATCAATAGTTACATAGACCCGAAATCTCTTAAATCCTTGACCTTAATTAGTTATTCTTTACTAATTGATCTACTCAACCTTATTAAAAAATCTTAATTCGCTCTGACGGGTTAGATATGATGTTAGAGTAAGTAAACTATACTCTTAGATTAGCATACTTGGATCCTTAACTCTAAGATAACAAAAATTAACCTATTTAGCAATCTGAACTAAACCTTCAAATTAACTAAATTGATTGAACTCAGGGCTTCTGCCTAATTTTAGCTCATAAACTAAAGATGAATAATGTGAAATTAAACCTTGATTTTATCATTAGGGCCATTTGACCCCAATTGACTCATATGAATCCTTTACGTTATTTTTAATATTTAACTAAACTGGGCCAAGTTAACATATGAAGTGGTTTCCAAAGGTTTGACTATGTCTAATTTTACATCAATTGACCCTTCAAGTTATCTAATTTATTTTATTATATCCATTAACTAAATTAACTCATTAGAACCTCTTAGGGAAAATTAATCCACTTAATCAAATTAGATTGTACCAAGCCTTTCATTTGACTTAAGTTCATCATATATTAATTTTGCTAGATTGATGCTTAACTGAGCTAATTAAAATTTAGTTGTGGAACATAGCCTAATTAGAAATCCTCAAAAATTTACACACCTGATTTGAGCTTACAGTCTCAATTAGAATAAACTATTGAGTTACTAGAATAAAAATTGAGACTACTTGAAAATTTTCATAATTGGAACGGTGATAGCGACTTTATATATACTTAAAAATATAAGTATTTAATACTGCTGCTAAAAGATTTAATTCCTCAGCAACTGTACCAAAACTTAATAACAGTTATAGATTCGATAAAGATGGATGTATAAAATATTCAATAATTGTAAAGTCACACTTATCAACGCAAGTATACGTATCGCTCAAGTAATATAGGGCTCTAATGAAGTCCTAGATATCGATCCCATAGGGAGTAATATTAGAACTACGAACTAAGATATTAGAAAAAAGAAATACTCAATCGCAATAATGGAATTCAATTTTCTTATCTGTCACTAATATGCAATTGAAATAAATATGTAATTTTAATAACTCTTAAATAACTAATTATACTAATGAGGTTTTTAATGTGATATTCAATATATAAGAAAGCATCATTCTCTATTCAATATATAAGAAAACATTCTTCTCCTTATCAAGAAATTATAGTGAATGGATAAAGTGAATCAGTTCAATTTGTATTGTGTCAAATAGGAGCATACATATTCTTTAACCTTTGGTCCAGACATAAAGAATATTAACTAATCCTACACTTGTTTACTAAATCTGCGGCTAGGCTGGGAGGATACCGGCATTCACTTCGGAGCTCCCACGTTCCCCTTGCATGAGAGCTAACATTTACATTTCAACACCCAAACGATATGACTGAATTGGGATTTTAGTCTGTTACTCTAAAATCTTCAATTCTACGCCCGATAAATTTATTTCCCTATTTATTTGTACCCAACTTCCAAGGGCTTTGACCTCCCTGAATCTTAGATGTAATCTTCACTTTAGTTGTAAAACTCAACATATTTTAACACATCA